ATTGGTTTAAAAGGGACGCACGCAATGGGTGGGCAGGGCCTGAATGGGGTTTCCAGCCTTGCCGCGAGTCACCTAACCCGAAGGCAGACGATTTTGTTAACGGAATAGCGGGGTTGCGTGTTCTCCATAGATCGTGGGAGAACTCACAAAACCATTGGGAGACACAGGACGAACACACAAGAGCAATAAATTGTAGACGCTTGAACTACTGGCCCGACAATCTGGAAAAGTTTGAAAACATGTCGCAAGAGAAGAGCGGTACGGTGCCCCTGGAAGGTCCCTTCTGGCCAGCTCCCATGCCCGATACGCAAGATCTCTCATTATGTGCGCCGCATGTCCTCGATTCCCCACCGAGGAAACCTTACTTCGTCGGTTACCAGAGAGACGCTCCCAAACCGGAGTTCAAACCGCATGACTCTGCCGCCGTGAACAACTTCATCGTATTCCGCGCGCCCGATAAGTATGTTGAAAAGGGCTGCACATTTTGGATAGGGCGTGTTATGGAGCGGGATGATAGTCGTATCCGCGTCAAGTACTGGACACCTTGTGGAAGGGATCGCGACTTATCGAAGCTGTATGCAGACGCATGGACAAAGACATGGAAGGTTGAAACTGAATCCGACGAAGGATGGCAAGACCTCGACGCCATTGTGTGGGCATGGGCCAGCAACAAACGGCCCGAGACAGGTATGCGGATCCCTAAGCGAGACGCTGTCAATGCACAGTTGTCGCTGGATGTCCCTGATAAGATGCCCGTGTCAACGCCCGATATGGGATCTGATTCAGATAAATCTGTGTAGACGTGAGGAGGGAAGGAGTATGAATGACGATCATATGTTCAATACCAACAACACAAAGCACATCGCTGATTGTTCGATTGAATTGCATTTTTCTCTTTTTTTTGTTGCGTTTAGAATGTCTGCATCGTCGGAGTGGAATCCTAATGAGAAATGGGGGACGCCGGTGAGATGGGAGGACCTTCTGTCATGGAAAACGAGAACACAAATGAGAGTTGTCGGTGTGCGGGCAATCGACTGGACGATTTTGGAGCCCTCGATTGAATTGTGGTACGACGAGGAGCACCTACAAGTTCTCAACCTCGCCAAGACAGCGGGGAGTGATGCAAACAAAGCAAGGCAAGACAGTGGCAAGTGGACCAAAGCGTTTTACGGGTTGGGGATAGTTCACATGTGGGGGGAGGGTGGGCGTGAGGCATCAGTGGCATGTGTGGCATTCTGTTCCAATGGTGGCCTGACACGGTGCGCGACACAGACTGAACGAAAGAAGGTGTCATCGATGGAGCAAGAGACCACCATGCAAAGGGCAACATTGAAGTATATCAGACATGTATGCAACGAAATCAGAGATGCAATGTTGCACTTCATCAACGAAAGGTCGAGGATCATCATTCACGTGGCGACAACTTTGATGACATGCCACAACGAAGATGGGCAAAAACAGAAACTGGAAAAAACTAACACAATAACAAAGTTTAATATTGTCGATCATATTCAACAACGCGAAAGTGGCAAACGGAACAACTTGCAGTCCGTCTTGCGTTGGTGTCCGCTTTGACTGCCGTTCAGCAATGACTCGTCAACTCACAGTCACAGTTCCGTACTGCGTCTGTGCTTGTCATGCCTTTGTTTTTTTTTTTTTTCGTTTTTTTTTTCTTCTTGTCCATGCAGTATGAACCCAGAATGGATACAGAGGCAGTTAAGACAAGATTGGTGGGGAACGTCAATCAAATGGGGGGAACTGATATCAGACCGGCTGAGGAGACAGCGTAACGCCGTCGGACTTGTCACGTGGGATTTTGCATATTACGAACCGTCACTGCACTTGTATCCTCTAAGCGCAAGAAGAAAGATTTACAACCTCGTGGGGGTGTGCGACCGTCAGAATAATAATAATTACAAGAAAGACGGGAACGCAAGATACAAGGAGGTCTTCTACGGTTACGGCCTTGTGGATGCCCTGGTGACAGAGAAATGCAGCGCCACCATTGCATGTGTTGTTGTACAATATCACGAAGGGATTACAATATGTGCAACGAAGACATGGAGACAAAAGATCCTGCGGAGTGATGTAGGAGACTCGATGGTGCGAGCGTACAAGCAGCACGTTAAACAATATTGTGATCACGCACGGGATGCAATGTTAGAATTCGTTGCTCGGAGGACTGTCATCACTGCTTCTATCTCAACAGTCATCATAGAGAGCGAAGAAACAACGGGGGTCAACCACAAATTCATAAAAATCTAGTTAACAACGAACTTCAACATTACAAAAAGTGTACTCCGTCGAGCCAACGGTCTGAGCAACGACCTTGTTCATTTGCGCCGCTGTAGCACTTCGTGACATTTTGGTATAGAGAAATTTGTAGCTTAGCACATGTAGACGGAGATAGCAATATAGTAGATCCTGCGCTCGTACGAGTGCTCATATCGTTTTTTTTTGTCATGTGCCGGATTTTAATTTTTTGAAAACGATGTCGAAACGCATTTCCACCTTTTGTACGATCATGTGCGGCTGCACATATTCGTAGTGTATAGGAGTGTATGAAGTCTAGAGCACCAACTTTCATAGACATTGTCTTCGTCAGAGAGAGAGAGAGAGAGAGA